TCTGGGAACAGGGCTTTTCACCATACCACATAAGCAGGAGAACCCAGTCATGACTCTCAGACAATTTCTACAACAACGTTGCCCCTTAAATCTAGCCACCTAACTCCCCAGACTGCAACCACCTTGGTTATTATGTGTCGAACATGTTTGAATGAGAGAAAACTGCTTGTAAGACCAACGATAAGCTGAAGGCAAGGATTATGGCAGGATTCACCAATTGAAGCAAGGAAACTGTTCAGGAGAGTTGCAGGAGATTCCAAGGTTGTTTGGTGGCTGTGGTTGAAGCCAATGACAATTTTATTTAATAAGTTTACTCTTTAGTATTTCAATATACTTTTGTGTAATTTTGGAAAATATGTCTGGTAAAATGAGCTGTCAGTGTTATTTTCATTTTTGTGTAATTTAAACGACAATTTCTACATCATACCCTGTATATATTTTATTATTTTTATATATATATATATGTAATTTAAAATCGACAATTTCTACTAGGATCAAAGTACCCTGTATATATGCCGAGCCGGGTGTTGTTATATGTGTTTAGAGAGGAACCTATATATATATATATATGTATGGGTTTTATTTTTGGCTGGGCTCTCTATATATATGCATTCATATTATAAATACCATCTCTCTATATATGCATATATATATATATATATATATATATATATATATATATATATATATATATATATATATATATATATATATATATATACATATATATATACTGTATATATTGTGCATGCCTATATTTATATATATATATATATATATATATATATATATACACACACATGCATATATAAACATATACATGTATATATACATATAGAAACACAAACTTTGTGCGTGTACACATCTATACATACAAACATATATAAAAATCAGACATCACATATACATATAACAAATACACACAAACATATACAACACACACAGAATGACAAATATATAGTATCCACAGATATGACACACACACACGCATATATTCATATATATAAATTGTGTATTAGGCAGCAAGTAACTAGGTTTACTTTTATTCATTTTGTTATTACATCTATTTCAGACAAATATGATTTGCCCATTCATCTGGATCAAATTTCTGAGGCAACTGTCCAAAGTCCTTACTGTTTTCTACTACTCCTGATACTGTTATATTGATCCACATTGTCAGAGGAAAATATTAGCAACCTAGGAGTAGAGTTTAAACCTTTCTACCTATAAATCCTAATTTTTAGTCTGTTAATTGCCGCAGCCACATATAAAACCTAGCAAAATGGTGTCTGGTGCAGAAGTATGTACAAAGTAGTAATGTATCATTGAATTCCACAATGTACCTATTGATATTCAACAATGCTTGTTGAGCATTTGTAGAAACCAAACAAAGGATATGAGCACAGTATGATAGTAGGTAATGCATTTCAGCACTGGTGACTGTGTGAAAAAGTGGGTGGCTTCTGCTGATGCCAATTTTCATGAGTGCAATTTGCATGCTCTTCTTTATACCTGGCAAAATTCATAACTAATAGTAGTGTCTATATGGAATAAATTGCTTTGATCCGAAAAACTTTCTCTATCCAACAGTGTTGTTATGCTCCTTGTATCATCAATGGTTTCTGTCGAAATAAATAAGAGGAAAATTTCTTAGTATCCCCATATATACATAAATATATATATATATATATGTATGTATATGAGGAAATATAGTTTTAAGGTGTGCTATATTTATGGGATGAAGTGCTCAGTATCAGAGATAGAGCATATGTAAATATAAAAGTGAACATTGAAGTCAACAGTCAGAGGCGACAGGCTTTTTTTATTGCTAAATGCAATGCTCAGGCAATCGTGGCCCAATGATTGCATGTAGCATGAAACAGCCTGTCGCCTCTGAGCATTGACTTCAATGTTCTCTTTGCATGCACACACACATATATATATATATATATATATATATATATATATATATATATATATATATATATATAATTACTTAAACAGATTGTATCCAACTAACAAGATTTGTTCATTTCCTTTTCTTTTTTTGCATTTTTCAAAAAGTTGTGTTTGTTTTTCTTTTTCACTCTTTCTTTCTTAGGAAGACACGTCTCTCAACACACTCATGATCATGAAACCCATAACCTATTAGGGTCATAAGGAAATCACTTGTACTGCAGCCATAGTAGCAGTGGTGTTTCTTGGGCAAGATAGCCTGATGGAGCCCAACCCTCTTCAGAGGATTTTGAATTCAGTTTTTCCTTCTCCTAGACCAGTTGCCACCCAAGGCTATAGGATCCATTCTGTTCTGTTGTTTAACCATAGATAGAGAGAGAATAGATAAATTCATACCTTTCTCAACTGTATCAGCATGTAAGTGAATATAATGAACTCGAGTGGAATTTGAACTCAGGTCTCCAATTCTTCAATCTGAGCCACTATCCATGATTCCTTCAACACACAGCATTTTTTTGTAGGGCTTTATGTGACAGAGTTGCTAGTCTCATGTCCGTCTAATTTTCTAACTGAAAGTTGCCCTTCTCCTGGAATGGTTGTCAACCAAGGCTGAAGAACATAGTCTTCTCTATTATTTAATACATAGCTTGGAGGAGGAAGAGATGGGTTCTTATCTTTTCCAAGGGTATTCGTGCTAAATTTAATGTAATGAACTCAATTCATCAATTTCTCATTCTGAGCCCTAACTATTACATCACCTGTATACCTATCAAAAATAGTTGTCATTTATCCAAGCGAAAGTTTTGGATAGACTGCCCATGTGTTTGTTCAAGTAGTTTTGACCATATTAATCATTATCAGAACAAAATCATGAACTTTGGACAGTTTACACAGATTTTTCCTCTCTTTTTTCAACAACTTATTCAAAAATTGGTGAAAAAAAAACACAATTAAGCAGACACATCAAAATTAAATGTAACTTTGTTTAAATGAATTCTCACTGTGTAAATATCCACTCTACATATTTTATTTGAATGAATCACATTTTAACTTTCTTTTTCTGTGTCAAGTCTAGGCAGATATTTGATTCTTTAAGTAATAATGATTAAGAACCTTTTATTATCTTTGGAACAGTTCATTTACTTTGAGCAATCTTCATGCATGAATTCAATTACATTTTTATCCGTATTCAATGGAACTGATTCATATTCTATTGTTTTGTTTTTCAGTTGGTGAGTAATTAAAAATAATAGAGGAAATTCTTGGTACGTCTTAGCTTCAAGCAACTTCCAATGTTTAAAAGTTCCTGAATGTTTAAAAGTAATTTCTTTTAGTAACATTTATTCTGTACAAATATGATGGAATTGTTACTATAGGTTACAATTTAAAACCCTATAACTAATAAAAGAAACAAGCATTAACCATAATGTGGTATTATGCCAGAATATTTACCGCACTGCGTTTTCACACCAGACTGTCAAGGGATATCAGGTGCAAGGTTGACCAGGCACCAAATACAAAAATACATGACTTATCACTTGTATCTGGTATTGTAAGCATAGACAGATGGATATATAAACAACCAGACTCCAGAAATTACGTGGGTGGTCTCTCACAGACAACATAAGAGAATGTAGGGTCCACATACCAAATGAGGACATGGTGCTGGTGAACCACAAAATATTGGAGTGAATAAAATTTTTTGATGATTCAAGCTTCATGTTATTTAATCGACAGTCTGACTTCATTACAGCATAATCCAATCTAAAGATATTTACCAAATCCTTTAACTGAAAGAACAAACTATCAAAAAAAGAAAAGATGTTTGTATTCCTTATCCTTCTTATCCATACAAGCTTAACCTTCTACCAGCTCTTACATACAGAGCAGCAACCTCATTCAATAAATCTCTACCTAGAGTGGTTCTCGACCCTTGTACTGAGTGAGCTTTAGTAATTAAAAAAATAGAGGGAAGAATGCCGTTGGATATGAGTATTAAATCATTTGCCTTAATTACTGTGTCTGTTTTTTTATGATGTCAACAAACACTCGTTCCACTTTTGTAATGTCAATGAATACTCGTTGTCACTTTCATAATGCTTGTTGTAGTAGAGACTTTGTAATCGCAGATACAACTATAGTAACACTGTTGAACAATACTGGTGTCAGACATCTTTGAATATCACTCACACTAATAGTACTTACTCGATAATACTTGCTTGAATAGTGATCTGTATAGCGATCTGAATAAAGAAATAGCATTGCGGACAGAGTAGAGAATAGCCGTCTGTATAGTAATAGAAGATAAAGTACGAATGCAGATCTGAATAGTAATAGAGGATAGAACAGAAATGCAGATCAATCTAGAAGTCTCGCAACTTCCTATATATGTGTTTCCTCTATGGTCACATGACCCACTTAATTCAATAATGGGATCACCTGTGTTTGCTAACTGGCAATCTGTGTTCAAACTCAAGTGTCAGCAGTGACACTTTATTCCTATATAACAGATTTATTTGTCATTTTTTTTATTTTCTCATACCAAACGACAGAACTAATTTTTAGTTAGAAAGATGTAACTAAAAATATTGGCTGCATTTTATTGAACAATGGGTGTTATGAATAATCAAGAGTGGTTTCCCCTTGTTTTGTTACTCTCCTTTATTGAGAGAGCTATTTCTGTTTACTGGGACTATAAAAGGACACTATACACAAACCTTGTATTTTCAGTTGAATAAAGCTTTCTTAATGCCTACACCTGCATACTTTTTTCATTATAATAAGTTTGAAAATTCTTACATAGTATTGTTGGCAAGAGTCAATGAGTTGATGACAAAGTAAAAGGTTCTTATTCTGTTGTCTAGTCTCATAGAAAAACAAAAGTTCAAAAAGACAATACATGTTGTCTCTCCAAAATAATTCCCAGCAAGGTATTCTACATGAAAATGTTTTGGGGATTTATCCATACTCACAGGTAATTCAAGGCAATATCTTTCACATAAAAAAAACAGGAAGATATAAAAAAGAAAGCAATAAGAAAAAAATCAAGAAAGATAAAAAGACAAGAAGGAAAAAACAAAATGGAGAAAAAAGCACAAAGGAGGAAAAAAAGAAGAAAGATAAAAATACAAGAAGGAGTTTTTTTCTCCCTCTTGCTTCTTGCATGAAAGAGAAAAATGTAACAATGAGAAAAAAAAGAAAAAATATGAAGGATTAAAATAAGAAGAAAAAAGCAAAAAGGAGAAAAAAGGAAGAAAACAAATTAAGAAAAAAGCATAAAGAAAAAACAAAAAATCATAGAAGAAAAAAGGAAGGAGTTTTTTCTGGTTCCTTTTTGTCTTCTTTGCCACTTGCAAGAAAGAGAAGAAGAAAAAATGAAAAAGAAAAAACACAAAGCGAAAAACACCCTTAAATATATCCTGTGAGTATCAGAATTTCTAAGCCCTCTTTCCTCATTATGTACTCTAGAAATTTCACCTGTATATTTCTGATGTTAAATATAGATGTCCTTTTTTTATTTTCTCTAAAAATTTGTTGTCGCTCACATGTTCAGTCTATGGTACCCTCAGCATCCTTCTGTAGAACCACATTTCTTTACCTCAAATCTTTTCATCTGTGAGTCAATTGTCCAGCATTCTTTGTCATATAAGAGGACTGCTATAACATACTGAATTAAAATTGAATAGTAATATTTGAACCTAGATTATTTGTCCTTGGTTGCTTGTATTTCAAATGGATGTGGCTTACAGGCTATGCTATGAAGATCAACCAATAAGAAACACCCAAACTTAACCATATAGCAATATTCTTTACTTCTGTGAATGTCACATATTAGGTTGGTGCAAAATAATGACGTAATAATGTCGTTTTTGGACATATTTTTTAAGGTCAAAAAACGACATCATTACGTCATTATTTTTGCACCAACCTAATACCACCAGGTATATTTACAGTTTACATGGCTAATATCAAATATGGATGTGCCTGTGACAGTCATCGACACAGAAGATGGGAATGATGAATAGAGTTCAAATTCCAAATGTTGTTGTTGTTTTCACTTGGCAAGGTATAAATCCATCACATCCCCTGCAACTATGGGTTAAATAGTAGGGTAACTTTAGATGACAACTAGTCTATGAGAAGGAAAGTTTTGAATTCTAAACCATGGCAAAGTCATCAACACAGAAGATGGAAATGGTGAACAGAGTTCAAATTGCTGTTGTGCTCACTTGACAAGGTATGAATCCATCACATCCCCTGCAATTATGGGTTAAATAGTAGAGTAACTTCAGATGACAACTAGTCTATGGGAAGGAAAGCTCTGAATTCCAAATCATGGCAGAGTTAATGGTAAAGACTCTTCTGACAAGGCATGGCAATTCATAGATAATATACAAAACTAACAGTACACATGAAAATTTCATGGGTTTTCCATGTAAATTGATGAAACATGATTAAGTTAATTCTTGAAAAAGACCCTTGTGAATTCCGTAGCAATATAATATCCATGAAATAACTAGGTAGTTGCCGCAATGCTTCAATATGGGTTAATTTAATAGGTGTACCTAGGGGTGACACAGTGGAGTCATCGATAGTGGCTCAGATTGAGGAATCGGAAAGCCAAGTCTGAATTCCAGTCAAATCCATTACATTCACTTACATGCTAATACCCTTGGGAAAGATATGAATCCTCTTCTTCTCCCCCCAGCTATGGGTAAATAGCAGGACAGACCAGGATCTATAGCCTTGGATGGCAACTGGTCTACTGCAGTAAGAAATGACAACTTACTGCAAGTCAAAAAATTGAAAGATACATGATCACCTAAGCATGTATCGTGCATAGCACATAACTGACTGACTGACCTCAGAGCAAGGCTAGCTAGAAGTGAGCTAAAAGTTTAGAGATTTACTGCTGCTACTATACCAAGAATTTGAGGGCAGGAGACAGACAACCTTTTACAAGACAAAACACACATCTACATCTTGAAATGGTGTGTAAGTAAAGAAAAATCATCAAAATATTCAGATTTCTAACATGATACTTTTTTGAATATTACCAATCTCATTCCTATTTCTGTTTACTTTTATCGCAACTAGTTTATTCTCCATCGTTTTGCTGATGGCAAGATGATCAAAACTCAAATCTAAATTGTTTTGTCTTTTAAAATACTACCTTTATTAAAAAATATATATTCAGTTTAAATACAGAAGGAGTCAGAAAATAACTTCAAAAAGCTGCACATTTCAACTTATACTCTTTTCCTGTTGCCCAGGGGCTGTTGCCAGACAAAAAGAGAAAAAAGACCTCGCAATACAGATATTCATTTTAGTTTCATTCAAATTGTATGTATGCAAGCATATGTGTGCACATGCATATTTTAATTCAATGACAGACCTAAAAATTTTTCTACAAAATTAAAAAAAAATACAATCTTTAAAAGATAATTATATCTATTACTGAATAATTTCCAAAAAGTTCAAATAAATCATATAATTTCTTTTTAAGGTTTAAAAAGTTAAATTTTTTTTTTACCTCCAAATTTATGATTTTATTGCTCAATCCTGGGTAGGGATTGTCCAGACGGAGTGGGACAGGAATGTATTATACCAATTTCAAATGCAGTCAAATTGTGTGTGTGCATGTGTGTGTTTTTGCATATACATTAAATGGCACAAGTATATGTAAGTCATTCATGCACAACACAGATATACACATATACATTAGATATGCACATACAAAGTCACATGCAGTCAGTGTGTGATTGTTGGAGAATTGGTTCTTCCTTTATAATATAGAATTCCCAGATTGCAATCATGAAGTAAGGAGTGCGGATCAGAAGTAAAGAATAACAGAATTAAGAGCTGGTTAACAATCGACAATCTTTACAACTAATAATGCTTCCACGTGAGAACTTAAATGACATGTAAAGTTAACAGTGTTTTTGGCAAACCTTGACTTGACTAAAAGTAAATAATGCACACTTTTAAATTATCTTATTCTGACCATTTTGCGAATTTTCTTTCTAATTAAAAATCCTAATTTACTAAGTATTTCAGAAGGAGCATGTCCATATGTTTTCTTTTAGCTCTGTAGCTCTATCTGCGGAATACTTTCTTGAATTTATGGGAGAAAATATAAAAGGTGTTTCAATAACTTGGACAGATTTTAAATGTGAATTAATTATAAGCGTCTAATAATTTTTCCCTTTTTCTTTCATATATGGCAGACATTTGGGCGATATTATTTTTCACACATAATTGCCATGACTTAAATAACATGATCCAATAGAGAAATAGAGAAATTTTCACCAATGACACTGATTTATTTACTGCTGACTTTGATCCGTCTTAATGAAACACCCTTTAACCTGGTGGTTATTACAAGTAAGATGAGTTAAACTAATGCAGAAATGCAATAAACTACCCAGGCAGATGAGTTTTCTTTTACTATTTTTTTTTTTTATAGCTTACAGGGGTTTGTTTAAATAAAAACTTTAAGAAATAGTAAGCAAAAAGAGAGATGAATAGTGTTTCTACAGGAACGGACCTCTGCAACAAATAATGATTCTCTCAATTTTTTTCATGTCTCTCTTGAATAAGCTCAAAACAACTTTTACTTTTTTTTTTTTTAAGTCTTCTAAATTTTAAGAAGGGAGAGTTTGCTATGTAAATTCATCATAAATTGATCCCCACTATGGAAGCCAAAAGAGAGTATGACCACAGGATAAATCATAGTCTTATTCACCTTACTAAATTTTTTATTAATTTCGAAAGAGGAATGAAATATGAATTTAAAGCATATATTTACTTACCTTTCCCTTTAATATTATTATCAATTATTTACCTTACTTACCCTTTATTTATTTATTTATTTATTCTTGGCTTGTGTAAGTGAATCAATTTCCAATTAATTTATATAGCAAGCTGAATGAAGCCAGTAAAAAAATATCCAAAAAAAAATAAAATAAATGAAGGCTTCAAAAACATTCTCTATGACAAATTTATGAGGTAGTCTTAAGAAAAAATGGACAAACTTTTACGCCTGCAAAAAAATGGTGTTTCAAAGACACAGTTTTATCCTTGGCACTGTTATTACTGTATACACTTTTGACTCCCACAGCAAGATTTATTTACAAGATTATAAAAATATGTGAACCAAGTACAATTTGATATTTATTATTTACCATTTTATAAAGATTTATTTGTGATTTGATAAAGAAATAATTTTAAAAAGAAAACTTTTTACACATTTTTTTTCAAATTACAAAATTATCAACCATTTACAATGCAATATTTAAAATTTACTATTTCATAAATAACTATGAAAACAAGTTTTTTATTCATAATTTTATAAAAATATCAATGAATTGTTTCATGAATAAAAAGCTCGGAAAATGCATTTTTTCAAAATTTGTAATCACAGTTATTCATCATTATCTGTTTATTTAAATTTTCAATGTTTACAAACATTTTTTATAAATTTCATGAATAAAAAAAATTATTTTCATATTTAATTTTTTATAAACTGATAAAGGATAAACATTGCATTGCAGTAGTTGGTACTCATTTTTACAATGTTCTAAAATTATTCTTGTAAATAAACAATTTAATGAATAAATAGTGTTTAGGATTTTTGCTGTAAATTCTTCAAGAACAAAGAAAATGTATGACTTTCATATGTTTGGGTTTTATTAAAATTCTAATCATCACTTTTTAAAACCACAATCATTGCTGAGGGAGTGAAGCTAGTTAAAATAATAACAAGGAAAAACAACATCATCTTATTGCGGGCATGAAGGTTAAAGATTGCCAAAAATGTTTCATGGGGAAAATGTTCTAAAGTTGGTTAAGTTGAATGTTCACGACAATAAAACACAAATGAAAAATATATTGAAATTGTTTAATATACACACAGACATGTTCAGTCATAATCTCTATTAATATTTTCCAGTTCAGTCTTAATCTCTATTAATATTTTCCAGTTCAGTCATAATCTCTATTAATATTTTCTAGTTTAGTCTTAATCTCTATTAATATTTTCCAGTTATTCTTATCACCATATTTAATTTTTATTGCTAGAAAATTGACCTTAAAACAATATTTCACACTGAAGTTCTCAATTAAATGTAACCTTTTTTGAATCTAACCAATTTTCCAGAGGGAAGTTATTTCTTTATTTCTTTCAGACTATCTCCAATAAAATTGTTTTTTTCTTTTAAAATAATACAGAGATACAGCTTTGGATTTGAAGTTCTTTGTTCCTGCAACTATGTAAGTAAAATCTCTCTATTCCGTGAGAATATATAACCAGTACATCCGGAACCAAAGTAATAGCTTCCTGGAAAGAGTCTAGAAATAATAGTTGGCATTTATTTATCTAAATACAAGTCTAAGATTTTGTTGAAAATGCCTGCAATAGCACTGGCATACATGCAGAAGAGAATTCTTTTTTTTTTTTAAATTATAAATAAAACAAAATTAAAGATAAAGATGTTTCATTCTAATAGGTCTTAGTTAAGGAAATATGTCTGCATATATCTGCATGTGTCTGTAAAATATATATTTAGGCAGCAAGAATTCACTTCAACCAAACAACTTTTATTAACTTGAACTGACAAAGTCTGTTTAATTTTTTTTAATTCTATTTCTTTTTTTAGTTTTTGGGGGGCATTGCATATCCATATCAAAACATGGAATAACTTGCTAAAAGTTCATATTTCTTTGTATTTTTTCTTTTTCATTCTTAAATAATTTTTACTGTGACAAGCATTATTAAGAACTAAACGTTATCAGTATCATAAATAAAAAAAAATTTTAACTTCATCCAGGATTTTATTTTTAGAACCCTATATTTCAAATTTATATATACTGAATGAAAACTGGTGTTTTCAGTGTGATTTGACTTATATATATATATATATATATATATATATATATATATATATATATAGATGTATTCATTGTATTATATAAGTAACATTATGTGGAGAAAAAAACAATGAAATAAACCTTGGTTGAATTCAACAAAAATTGTTTGATATATACACACACACATATATATATATATATATATATATATATATATATATATATATATATATATATATATATATATATATAAATTTGTAAGCAAATATATGGATATAGATCCAACAGTATGAAGAAAAATATACAGAAAAAAGATTTTTGTTTGTTTTTTTTTCTGTATATTTTTCTTCATATATAAATATATATTGTTCAAATTTGTTTTTCATTTGTTTTTGATCAAATTTATCTATCGTTTGTTCAAAATCTATCTATCTATCTATCTCTCTCTCTCTATATATATATATATATATTGTTTGTTCAATTCTATCTTTCACTTGTTCTTGTTCAAATCTATCATTTGTTCAAATCTATCTTTTTAATTCTCTCTCTCTTTATATATATATATATATATATATATATATATATATATATATATATATATATATATATATTTAAGCCTGTAAACCTTTTATAATTAGCTGACTAATAACTCACAGAAGCATTATTTCTGATTTGATATTATAGTTTTCCAACACCTTAATGAGTTTATGATGATTTATATTGTGATGCAATGTGAGCAGCTAGAATGAAAACACAAATTCAAAAAATGGTCGTTCCATACTTTTCAGCTTTTGTCCAGGGGCATGAAAAGAGATGTGCTTCCCCCAACACACACCAAGAGAGTAGCATGTTGAATAGTAAATGTATTAGTATGTATGTGTGTGTATGCAGGTGTGTGTGTGTTTCTAAATTAGGAGGTACTAAAATGGCTTAACAATGAAAACAAGAAAAAACAACAACAAAATCTCAACAATAGCAACAAGTTGTTTTTGTTGTTGCTACATCATTTTTCATTCCTGGAAGACAGAGTCTGCCCAAAGATGGAGAGTGGCTAGTAATAATAAAAAAAAAGTTAAAAGAAACTAAATAACAAAGAAGTAGTGAAAGAAAATGGGGAAAAAGGTGAAGTTTGAAAAAATATAGAAAAAAGTGAAGGAAGAGAAGAGATAGAGTGAAAAAAAAAAGAAAATGAAGAGAATATATATATATATATATATATATATATATATATATATATATTATTGAATGTAACTGAAATCAAATTCAGGTAATCTTTCTGTAGATTACTTTCTAGAATTCTGTAATTTCTGTTTCTTTTCTCTTTTCTTAGAAAAGAAAAGGAAAATAGAAAAAATAAGAAAAAAGAAAGAAAAAGAAGAAAGAGAAAAAGAAGAAATAAAGAAAGAAAGCAATAGAAGGAAAAAAAAAGGAAAAAGATGAAAGAAAAAGAAGAATAAAAAAGAAGTAAAAAGGTGAAAAAAAAAAAGGAATCCTCCTTCACTCAGTGTTGCCTTCCTTCTCCCTTTTGCAAACATTATTACAAACATACAAACATACATACCAGATTGAATAGGGGTGGGGTAAAAGTTGTTGGCTGGGAGGGGTCTGAGAAGATCAATGAAGGATGTATGGTAGTGGTGGTAGTAGTGGAAATGACATCTAAAGGAATGGTTGGCAGAGGAAGAACATTTATTTGATTGGTTGTTTAATATTTGCAAATGTTTTACTTTTTGTACACTTGGCTTTTTTTTTTTCATCTTTTTTAAACATTAAAATAAGAAAAAGAAACAAAACCAAAAGGTTCATTTTCCCCCCTTAGCCCTTTCTCATCATTAATTTAAAAAAAAAAGAACTATTATTTGTCTTCCTATCTTTCTTTCTTCTTTCATTCTTTCTGTTCCTTCCTTCCTTCCTTCCTTCCTTCCTTCCTTCCTACCTTTTTGTCTTATTTTTCATTCAATCTCACTCCCAAATCTTTTATCTTGTTTCTTTTTTGAATTATTTTTTTTTATTCATTTTATTTGCATTTCTTTTGTTTCTTTTTAAAACTCTTTTAAGAAAATTTGTTGGGTAATTATTTTTTTAACTTCTTTTAAATTTCATTGTTTGCATACCCCTTTTCACATATCATATATATATATATATATATATATATATATATATATATATATATATATATTTTTTTCATTTTAAATTTGGCCATCTCTTTTCTTTCTTTCTTTCTTTTTCTCTTTCCATAGATTTATTCTCTTTTTAAATGATTCTTTCTTTTTTTTTTCCAATTTTGAACCCAGCTCCTACCCATCATCTTAATTTCTTTCTTTTTTTTTTCCCCCAGTAACAAACTCTTATCAAATTTTTTTAATATATATTTTTGGCCTTTCTTTCAATTATCCATTAATATAATTTTTCCGTTTATTTTTCTCTTATTTTTTTTTTTAATCCCCAAAAGTTTCACTTCCCAAGAATTTCGTCCAACAAATTGAAGTCCGTAGTGCCTGAATTTTGAATACTATCAAAAATGTCCGTGTTGGAAGTATTAGCGCTGTCCAAAAAATTCATGAAGTCCTCTTGAGTTGTGGTGACTGGGTAACCATTTTGATGTGTGTTCACTGGACCTGATACTGACATGTTACCACTGGAACCCAGACTGTACGGAGATGAAGACGTTGGAGCACAATGCATTGGAGGGGGTCTGACACTCATTCGTTGTGACATCTGTATACTCTGTTGCTGCTGTACTTGTAGCATTTGTGGATTTGCTTGGTGCATCATAGATGATTGGCCCTGAAGACCACTCATCTGGGACTGGTGCATGTGGGCCACATGTTGGCCTGGAGGCATGGCCCCAGGGTTTGAGTAACTCCCATACTGTGGCATCATGTTAGGTCCCGTTGCAGTCATGTGCATTCGGGACATGCCCATGGCTCCATTGTTGGCCGGTGCCATTCGAGCTCCTGGCTGGCCTGGAATCATCGGGCGAGGCCAATCACCGGAGCTTCGTGGCCGAGATATGTTCAGTCCATCAGGTCCGACATTCACATTAGGTGGACGCTGGTTCCGCATAATCGAGCTTTTGTAAGTTGGCGTCAATGGACGCTGTGATCGGCTATTTACCGAGCTACCCACAGGGGTCTGTGTTGGTGCCTGAGTTGTGTATGGAGAATGTCTTGTCAGTGACGGACTAGGGTAATTTGTTACAGGGGGTTGGGTGGTGTTTGTGGAGGACATGACAGAGGTGGACATTTGTTGGACTGCCGTCACCTGGGCCGAGTGTAACAGACTATTCTGGGAGGAGTTGGGCTCGGTCTTTCCAGACACACTATACCCTGGCTGGATAGTACTGCTTGTTTGGTTAATCATATTCTGCATTGTTTGTAAGGGGTTTGCTCCATTGGCCCCAAAGGAGGCGCTGCCGTTTGAACTAGTCTGCAGTTTATACTCGGGTGGTGGGGGTCGGCCCATATATTGCTGAATGGGTGGGGGGCATGGCTGACCACCTGTGGTTGCTTGCTGTTGCTGCTGCTGTTGCTGTTGCTGCTGCTGCTGCTGCTGCTGCTGTTGTTGTTCAAGTAATGAATCGCGAGATTTGGTCTGGCACACGTGCTCGGCGTGCTTTTCATGCATTAGATTCATCTGTTCAGTCATGTACTGACCTTGTGACATTGCACCAGGGTTCAGAGACATTGACTGCTGTTGACTCATGGAGATCTGGTGGGGGGCCTGCTGCATTTGCAGCTGTTGCGTCTGAGACATCTGCATGCGGTGTGCTCCATGAGAAACCTGCATTTGCTGGGTCTGCGTGATCTGCATTGACTGTGGGCCCTGATTCTGGTTGAAGTGTGCACGCACCTGGTCCTGTAACTGCTGCAGGGATGAAGGTGACGGGCCACCTTGAGCTGACGTCACCTGCACCCCCATAGGATCAGGGTAATGAGATAGAGGCTTGGTGGCCCCGAAGGGCAGCGCCAAGTCTGCTTTTCCGGGCAAGGGCTGTGGGTAACCAGGCGGTACCTGCTGACCCCGCAGCTGGTTCAGGTGAGGGGGTGGCTGTTGACCATAGGTGTAGGAGTTTTGCCCAGCCAAACCGGGCGGTCCTGGCGGATAGCTCGCAGCATACCCGTTTCCCCGGCTGAACTGGTCCAAATCCGACCCGGGATCGGGAAAACCTCCGAGCGCCGGAGATTTCATGGCGTAATTTTGGTTTTGGTGCTGTGCGGCCATCTGCTTGAGGGTCTCTGCCGCAGGACCGGTGTCCGAAAGAACGTGCGGCTGGGGATGCTGGTGGGAAGCCCGGAATGTTTGAATCGGAGTAGGTGTGCGCACACCACCCATGTTCTGGTTGGTGTCGTAAATCGGATTAAGAGGGTTGGCACCTGGAGGTGGAGTGTCCACAAATGGGGGGCCTTTTGGTGGGAGGCTGGGAGAAGTGGCAGTCAATGGTGGGAACATTATTGAGTCATTGTTTTCTTCGTCGCGGTTCTCTTTATCAAGGTAGGCGTCTTCGAAATCGTCTAATCCTTTAAAATCTTCTTGCTCTAAATTTTCAAGAATAGTTTGGATTATTTCCGGATCCAAATTCAAAGTGCTGATTATATTATCAGAGATATTATTGCTGTTAGCATTTGGGTTTGACTGGTTCCCTAAACACTGTGACTCATCACAAGGTTCTTGCTTACACTCAACACTGGTCTGTATACTGCTTGACTGGGGTGAACTTGTAGTAGATGACCCATACTGGGTCTTAACGCTAGTGACCGTTACGTTAGTGTGAATAGTCTGGGGGTGCTCAGTTTGGTTATTAATTTGCTGGACGATCTTTACCGAGAGGCTAGACAACGGGTTATTGTCAATTCCAGCTGTATTGGTTGATTGTTGCTGTTGTGTTTGCTGCTGCGGCTGCTGCTGCTGTTGTGGTCCTGGTTGGGGTTGCTGGGGGGGTTGCTGCTGGTTCTGCTGTTGTTGCTGGAGGTTGGAGTGATGAGGAGAGGCGTTGGTGGTGTCGTCAAAGTTGTATGGACCTGCAGCAGATACGTTTCCAGCATCACCTGACGTGGGCACAGTTGCGGGGTTGTCAACAGATAATCTGTTGTCTTTCTTTGTTTTCAACTTGGGCTGCAATGAAAATTATAAAAAAATTAAGTTAAAAACATTAATATGAGGCATACGCATGAAAAAATTAAAAGTTTTCATATAAATATATATGTTTAATAAACGACCAATGAAAGTTCTTTGTTAAGGATTTTTGTTGTTGTTGATATGCAAATTAATTGAAATACTATTGGATAAATAGCAAGTTAGTCAGTATGGTAATGTAGTGGTTGTGTAACCAATATATATATTGTTTATATTATTATTTAAATACATTCTTCAAGTGGAAAAACAATTTTTTTTACAAGCATTGTATAGACTTGAAGCAGACTTTAAAAGGAACCAGAAACCCAATTCTAAACAGAAAACAAAAGATAAACCTCTACTCCTGTTTGAAATATAGGGGAGGGGTGTGAACTGGGTGATACAAAAACCTATCTACTCCTATTAAATTCATAGGTTTTTCTTCTGTAATCATGGTGGTGATAATTTTAAAGGTATTTAAACTTTGTTAATTTGATTTTTATGATAGTTAATATATAGTAATGTATGAGGCTTCTTATAATTCTTTGTATATTTTGTGTATATGATCATTATTAATAACACAAAAAACTAAACAGAAAATCCATATCAAAGATGTTTCAATAGCCTTTAACTAAACTTGTATAAATGAAAAATTATGGCTTATATCTAAAATTCAGATAGTGCTCTTTCTGCATACATAAGGGGCGAAAAATAATGACAACACAGTGCTAAGAATGTATAATTCCAATTTACATGGAATGCTTCAAAGAACATCATACTGTTAAAAATATGAAATTTAGAAACACATCTGTTGTTTTTTTTCTCCTTTTCTTGATGTTTATAATCTAAAATTGTTTAAAATTCATTTTTATAGAAAAAACTACTCTCCAAAAAAGAATCTACTTGTTTTTTATTCGTTTGTGCTATCTTTCCTTGGTGCTTAAGGGTTAAATAGTTCAACCAAACAAAATCATTTATGAGTTGCAGTAAAATACTCAATGGTCAAAGTAGGCAAAATGTCTACTCCAGCAGTTCCTTTTCTTGCGCTTCCCGCCTGTGGAACTCCCTTCTGTTTACTTGCTTCCCGGATAACTACAATCTTCAAAAATTTAAATGCAATGTCAATCGCTATCTTCTATCTTCTCGAATCCCATTCAACTTACATCCATTTTTCAATTCTCAATCCTCCCTATACTTAGTCTTGTCTCTCACTTTCACTCCTTATAATCCCCTGTGTACTAGTGGCATTCCTGCCTTGCTTGAGGTGAATTGATTAAAAAGGATATGTCTCTTTTTTAGTCCCGGCTCTTCCTATCCTTTGTAGCTCATAGCAGTGTTTGTCTTTACCATCACCTGTCCCTCCTGTCTGGTTACCCATTCGCATAAGCTCATCAGGTAAATTTCCTACTGTGAGTTTTAAATTTTCAGTGCCTACTTTTCTCATTAATTTTTTTCCCAGAAATTTAAAATGTCTCTTTCTGATTGTAAGTGTTGTGGTAGGATCCACCTAATTTGCACAGTGGGGTACCGACCATATAAATATGGTTGGTACCGGGAAGACGAGGGGAGGAATCAAGAGATTCAACCAGAGACTCTGCCCGACTACGACTAAGTCAACCCATTCTCCAGGAACGGTCTTCCCAAGAATATACAAAAGACTATATGTAAATATTGTGTACCCTTTCTTGTTTCAATACATTTTGTTCTAAGTACATTTTGTGTTGTATTATTATTCCATGCATTAGTCAAGTTTCAACAGTAAGTATAAATACAAGTGTCCTTTTTGTTCATATAGGAGCACAATAAAATCATTTTGTCAGAGTGACCACTGATTTCGGCAGACAAAATTCCCTGACCTTTTTTTAACATCATCATTATTGGAGGTGATTACACCTACAATAATGATGACATTCGCTGACACCCATTGATTTAACTTTATTTTAAGTATGCTACCTAAGAAATGACAACAGGTTTTAATCCATATAAAAATCCGAAAGACAGGCACATATATAGGTTTCATAACCATACAAAATATCAGACCAAAAAAAGCCATTGCTGCATCGTCTTCATTCAATCATAACAAGTGCCCACTTTTATCCCACTATACATGGCCTAAAATAAATGACCAATTTATTAGGTAGATGCAAGTATACTGACTACTTACTTCTCATCATACTGACAATTAGGTGTATCTTGAAGATACTATGGATTACAAGTAATGATAGGTTCTTTTTGACACAGTAAAGATCAGGATTATATGACATAAAAAATTATACAGTCCCCAATAAATTTCATAACGTTTAGAAATTTACTGTATCTTCCTTGACCAATTTTTATTCCATGACTGTCTAATTTTAGATATTGTCTTTCCAGCTGTGGGGTGGTTTACATCAGAATTAAGAGTGTTAAACTGTTTAATGTTCCTTTTTATACATTCCAGTGCTTTCGACTGTCAATCCATTTGTTATCAAGAATTGCTATGTAACATAAGATGATTTTGACAAATTCTGATGTTCTAAGATTGCAAGAATTAGAACTTAAGTCAGTTAAAGGTGACATTATTTGAAACTTGGGGCAGTTTAACATTTTTAACCATGAAGTAAAACTCCTCAGTCAGAAGTTGGGGAAACAACATAAAAAGTTAATGGTCAGATCTTGTTGGTCATGTTTATTAAAACTTGTTTGGCTTAATTTCTTTCTCGCTAAATACACCATTATATATGTGTGTGTGTGTGTGTGTATGTGAAATTTTAGATATAGCTAAAAATATTCGAGAAAGGACAATATTTGAAATAGATGCACCATTTTTATTTATTAAACAGTGTGTATTATGCCTATTAGCCTATGGAGTTGAGAAATCTTTGTAAAGAAAATCTGTTTCAGCAAGGATTGAACCTGCATCCCTCTTTGTAGGATAACACTTTTCGATCCAGCATGCTTTCATTTTTTAAATACAAACACATACATATATGCGCGCACACATACAAATCTATACACGCATACAGATCTATACACACATACACACACATATACATGTACATACATATCTGCATACACATACATATAAACATATACACACACACACATAAATATATATACATGCACATACATATCTATACACAGACACACACACATATAGGTTTATATACGCACACATATATACACACAGCTCTCTCTCTCTCTCTCTCTCTCTATATATATATATATATATATATATGTACACACATACAAACACATATATATATATATTTACAAATACATGAATTATTCACACAAAACTAATGTCTCGCCATTTAAACCATTAACCTTTGCATTAGTTTTGTGTGAATAATTCATGTATTTGTAAATTGATTGCACGTTTATTGTAATATATATATTTATATATATATCAGTGTAGCTAGACATCCAATTGCTTCAAGCCAAGATCAAAATTTGACCGATTTGACATCAGTCAGAGACACTTACCCTTGGCTATCAGTACAAACCAGAGAAAGGGTTTTTTAATGCATTATATACATGATATATAAATGTTATACTGGCCACCATAGCACACAATTCTTACAAAGAACGATGCATTTAAAGAAGCAGCCATTAAAAATTCCCTTTTCTTCATAGTGCTCAATCAGTGAACAAAAACATATATATATATATATATATATATATATATATATATATATATATATATATATATATACACTCACACACATATATGTGTACAGCAAAAGTAATGCCCTTTTATTGAACAAAAATAGAGTAGTTTAAGTAAATTTCTAAGTATTGTCACATCAAAACAACATGATGATTTACAAACTATTTAACATGTTAACATGTCATATTCAATACAATCCAATCAGCAACACCTCTACAAATCATTTGAAACCTTTCTACGTTGATTTTGCTTGTTTTAATACAGTAATAGTTTTTGGTTTGTGCCTGTAAGCAAATTTTTCAGTACACCCCAGAAGAAAAACTCTGATGGTGCGAGGTCTGGTGATCATAATGGACACTCCTGCACATCATCTTATCCACCTTACCTTGAAATTAAGAGTTAACCACTTCTGAACACTTAAGCCATAGCAAATCTTAAACTACTGTAATTTATTTTTGTTCACTAAAAGTTTTATAAAAGGGTGTTACTTTTGCCACACCCTATTGACACACACACAATTACACTGTAGAATATATCTAAATTACCACTTCGGAAAATCCCCCTTAAAATGAGTCTGGAAAGTTATGTATGATTGTTTTATTTGATATCTTATATAGTTTGGCATAATATTGGTTATTTGTGTGTTGACAGCCTTGGGGTTAACAAAATGATGTTCAGTGACCTACAAGATTTTCTCCTCCGTTACAAAATGAGGGCATTATCAGATTTAAGGAAAACACACTCCCCATCCCAATTAGTTATTTAACTCTAGGTACCTCCACTAATTTGCTGAAAAAAAGAACATACCATGATGAAAAAATGCCCCAAGCTCGATAAAAGCAAAGTTTTATCATCAAAATATTTGTTATTATTAAGAGAAATGGCCAAAATATTTTTTGATTATTTAATTATTTTTTTTTTTAAATCCTTTCTAAATCTTTTTAATTTTTTTTCAATAAGTGTAGATAGATTTGCCTATCACCCAGTTCACCCCCCCCCCACATCTTTTGAACAGGATAAGAGGTTTATTTCTTGTTTAGGATTCGGTTTCCAGTTCCTTCTAAAGTCTTCTTATTCTCTTTCCCTCCCAGTAATCCCTTGTGTCTTAGTGGCATTATCACCTTACTTGGGGTGAAATGATAAAAGAGAAGAAGAAGAAAAAAAAAATCATGGTTTCATTTTAATTTCTCCCTTTCTATCTACTTGCATACAAAGCTCAGTCATTTCATACAGTGGGGTAGCTAGAGTAAACGTCACCCGGAGTGGTCCGCTCAAATGTCACCCCAGTGACCCCGATTCACCCTATGCTGAATGGTTAGCTGTAGCTAAATTTTCATACGTGCTCTACCTCTACTTTACTCTACTGACCAGTATGTTACTGTTTCATGTATGATCCAAGACA